CTCTCTCTCTCTCTCGAATAATTAATTAAAGTAACTAAATGTTATAATTCAAATAAATGTGTTCTTACCGCACCATTTCATCTCTTTCTGATCTGAAGCGGCAAAATGCAGACCTAACGAGCTGTAGCTTCGCGTCAGGTGGTTCTTGCCTTCACGTCGTGCATTAAAATCGTTCAATGTACAGCAAGCCGTGCATTATCCCTTATGTATTCGCTCTTTAGCAGCAGTTTTTTACAGCAATATTTAAATGACACCCTGGTCATTCTTGGTGAACCCAAAATGGTCCCACACTATCGACAAGCATTTCTCTGGTGGAAATAAAGCTTCGCTGTTTGGTCCCTCTGTCACAGTTCATCTAATGCATGTAGTAGCCTCCGTGCCTCTGATAAGCACGTCATTTTAAGCTGGTGCACCGCTAGTGTAACTTTGTTTTCGTTTCGCGCAAGCTGCTACAGTTCCGTTCCATGTAACAGAAACACTCGGTTTAGCGGAACCTTTACGATTAATTAACCATGACATTTTAAAGCGCGGTTAATCGCGAAACCGGTTAATCGCTGCATCCCTAGTCCCGACTGACTTAATACAGGTGACATTTTGCCAATACCTCTCTTCTTATGAACACAAAGTGTGTGTACTCAACTATTTACCTCAATCACCCGTCTTTATACAAGTACACTAACTTTCCAACTGTTGCAGCTCACATTCAGTAAGTCAGTTTGCTTTTTGCACAGGAATTTGCAGACGGTCCCTTAAACAACGCCATTCTGCCAAAGAAAAATCTCAAAAAATGGTACCATGTAATCGCAGCAGCAATACTTTATATTGGTTCGCATTCGTTCCCCTCATAGATCACGAGACTAACAGCAACATTATCACTGCAAACATCGAAACAATAATTTACACGAACATACAAAAACATAAAATCGCTCAGTTCTTACTTTACATGTTTTCCTCACATAGACATTTAGAGCAGCAGTAAGTTAGTGATGGGAAGTTTGGATCATTTTACCGACTCGGACCTTTGAGTCTCGTTCAGCAAAATGAACGAATATTTTTTCGAGTTATTTCGTTCATTTCGTTAATTTTAACAAAATAGAATTAAAATGTTACGTGTTACTTCCCTAATATGTCTACTACTTACGCAAACGTTGATCACACTACAAACAATACAAAACTGCTATAAGAAACAGAAAAGATTAATTCATTGTTTACCTGAGTCTTCAGTCTATGATTAGCTCACCACCTCTTATCTGACAAGTCTTCGGGTTTGGGCTTATGGGGCTGTCACGTGATGAAAAACCCGAAGACTCGAGATGAACTAATCAATTCTCTAGAACCTATAGGATGTTGCGCATGCGCGACTGAACGAATCACTCCCCGAGACGACTCGTTCTTCCCGAGTCACATTAAAGATTCGTTCAAAACGAACGAATCGTTCAAGAACGACCCAACTGTACTTACTGTAGTGTAAGTAGGTCTAAGTCAGAAAACACACAAACAGCTTAACGTTACTCGATTGAAACAAGACAGAAACATACTCGTTTATTGTTGCAAACATAGTGTGTAAAGTGTGTTTTACAGTTGTTTAAATAAGAGAAATACCGTGAACTGCTCACCTCTCCTCAGAAGATCGCTGCAGCTGCGTCCGAAGGCTTTTATGACTCTTTGTTCACGGTTTCTCCTGAAAGTGATTTGTTACTCAGCTCTCACTGAATCCAGGACTGCAGCCGTTGAGCTCAAGAACAGAAAAGAGGGCGTGTTCACACCGGGATAGGCGTTTTTAACTATCCAATCAGAAAAGCCCTAAGAAGAAGCCAAGTGTTATTATTTTCTTTTTACTGTCTGAAGTTACCAGCTATTTTGTTATGTCTAGATCACGAGAAAACAACTTATGTCAAGTTTATGATAAATCAAGAGAAACAAGACAGAAACATACTCGTTTATTGTTGCAAACATACTGTGTAAAGTGTGTTTTACAGTTATTTAAATAAGCGAAATACCGTGAACTGCTCGCCTCTCCTCAGAAGATCGCTGCAGCTGCGTCCGAAAGCTTTTATGACTCTTTGTTCAGGGTTTCTTCTGAAAGTGATTTGTTACTCAGCTCTCACTGAATCCAGGACTGCAACTGTTGAGCTCAAGAACAAAAAAGAGGGCGTTTCCCAATCGCTGGGCGTGTTCACACCGGGATAGGCGTTTTTAACTATCCAATCAGAAAAGCCCTAAGAAGAAGCCAAGTGTTATTATTTTCTTTTTACTGTCTGAAGTTACCAGCTATTTTGTTATGTCTAGATCACGAGAAAACAACTTATGTCAAGTTTATGATAAATCGAGAGGAAAAATAATAACGCTGCATGCCTTTAGGACATTCATAAACCAGGGAACAAATGCAGAATCCAGGACTGCAACTGTTGAGCTCAAGAACAAAAAAGAGGGCGTTTCCCAATCGCTGGGCGTGTTCACACCGGGATAGGCGTTTTTAACTATCCAATCAGAAAAAACCCTAAGAAGGAGCCAAGTGTTATTATTTTATTTTTACTGTCTGACGTTACCAGCTATTTTATTATGTATAGATCACGAGAAAACAACTTATGTAAAGTTTATGATAAATCAAGAGAAAATAAATCATGCTGCATGCCTTTAGGACATTCATAAACCAGGGAACAAATGCATTTTTCCTGGTGCACAGGCGTCCACGTTCAACAAAGTCGCCTTGAAGTTGTGAATCTTCGGAAGTGGAGCCAATTAAAATTAGAAAACTGCTTAAAAATTGCTGCCTCCTCTCTCCAGACCTTTAAGTCTCGACTTAAAACTCATATATTCACTCTGTTCTCTAAATAACTAATTTACCTTTCTGCTTCTCAATTTCCCAATTTCTGTCTGTATGACACATGACCACCTTCTTGACATAATTGATGTTCATCATATGATTGCATGACCTCTTGTTGTTAATTATCTGTAGTTCTTTGTTGTCAACACTTGTTTGTCTGATTGTCTGGTGTATTTTGTTTGCCAATTCCTTGTATTATTTTGTAAAGCATCCTTGGGTTCTTGAAATGCGCTATACAAAAAAAAAAGATTAAAATGGGAATTCATTATGATTGAACACTATTTGCTTAAGACTCGAGACTTACTTGTGACTTGCACATGTGTGACTTACTCCCACCTCTGGTTAATATTGATGAGCCTCAGACGATCAACGCTCATTCAACGAGACATTCAGGATCATCAGCAGATCATCTCACTTTATTCTCATTGTTTGCTGCTAGAAACACATTATTTGAGTCAGAATATAAAACCCTACAAGTGTTTGAATGAAAGATACTGTTATTTCTCACAATGTGAAATGGATAAAACATCAACAATAACAACAACACCATAGCCTAACATGTCCATATGAATCTTAATATAGTTTGGTTTTCTACTAACTACAAATTGCAGAAAAGTAGCCTAATTAGATAATTGACATTTTACAGTTTTTCGTGTAGGCTACAGACCTAACAATGATCATAAAACTTTTAAAAAATAAAGAGCACCAGCAATAACGTTTTCTTGTGTCAGACTTCATTAATATTGATCTAGCCTATATTCACATTTATGAATAGATTTGAAATTTCCCTCATTAGGCTCATTACAGAGACAACGTGTTTAGAAGTTATATGTATTTCAATTTTAACAAGTAAGCATAATCTGCCCGTGATTTGGTGCTACGCAACTGTTTGTGCAAATATAATGTAGCTACAATAAAGAAACTTAAACGAAAAATAGAAGTATAAAAAAAAATAAATGTAATATCTCATGCGAATGAAAATCCGCGTAGCGTCCAGCAGGTGGCGCCAGATCTTTATTCAAACACTCAGCGACAAAAAAACCCCGCCAAAAATAACCAACAGCAGAGTCTTCCGAGGAGAGATATTGATGGAGTGTTGGGAACATAACTCAAATAATACATGTTTTGGATGGACTGTGGAAAAAAATAGGCTGAGGATATTGGATTGACACGAATAGATGTAAGTCCTACAGTGGAAATTCCCATAATACCTCCGTGGTTATTTCCAATGCCTATAGCAGACCTTCAGATTTAGGAAGAAATTAATAATAAAAAGGGTTATGTTTCCAAGAATGAGATTGCACAAATATACATGGATCAAAGTTATAGTCAGGAAATATTTACAGATGGATCCAAAGATCCTGTTTCAGGAAATACAGCAGTTTCTATATACATTCCTCATTTTAAGATTAAAATTGCAAAAGACAAGTAATCATTTATCAGTTTATTCAGCAAAAATTATAGCCATTCTGATAGCTCTTAATTGAGTCGAGGAAATACAGCCATTAAGAACAGTTGTTTGCTCAGACTCTTATTCTGTCTTAATACGTTTATTAAGTGGCAAGTCTACATCTAGACAAGACATATTATATGATATCCTACAAAGCATGTTCAAAATTCACCAATATAGATTAAGTATTTCATTTTTATGGGTACCGGCACATGTTGGGATAGAGGGAAATGAGGAAGCTGATCAAATGGCCAAGAAGGCATTAAAACAAACCGATATAGATATAAACATCACTTAGATATGTAAGCAGAAATGAAAGGAATAATCAGAGGGGCTATGATTAGGAAATGGCAAAAGATGTGGAATAGGGAGGTAAAGGGTCGGCATCTATACAACATTCAAAAACAAGTTGGAAATGGCCTGAACTGCAGTTATATACTTCATTATACTGCAAATCTCCAGTTGTACTTCATTGTCCTGCAGTTATACTACTTTGTACTGCAGTTGTACTTTAATGTAGTGCAGTTATGTTTTGTAGTTCCCCCCCACTCTATTCCTCCGTATTATTACCCTCCTCTCACCGCTTCACATTCCAGTCCAGCGGGTGGCGCTAAACACATGCGTTTGTTTGCCAAACACCATTAAACCTCAGAAGAAGAAGATCAGTTTCAGCTGAGCAGAGTCTTCTGAGGAGAGTTCAGCAGCTCACGGTATTTCTCATATTTACACAACTATCAAACACACTTTATACAGTCTGTTTAAGCGAAATTTTACAGGCTCATGTCTGTGTTGTTTTCATCGGGTTCATCGCTACTTGTGCATCTTTTCTGGCGTCTTTCTACTGAAATAAACATTCAGTGCAGCAGCAGCAGCATGTGAGGAAAATATGATGAATTAAGTCAGACGGTTTTGTGAGCTTTTATGCATTCGTGCGAATGTTTCTATGTTTGTAGTGAGAACTGTTGCTGAATGTCAAGTTAAACATTGATCTGTGAGGGGAATGATCTCAAGTGTTGCTGCTGC